TCGTGACCCTGTCCACGGACGCGGGCCGGGCCCCACACGTCCATGTGAAGCGTCTGCAGCGGGGCCTCTGTCGGAGGAAACTGGGAGGAGTGAGGGGCAGCCCGCTGCCGCCCCTCGACACAGGGGACGCAGGTAGGGCAAGGCCCCGGAGGAAGGGGAGGGAGGGACCGGGGAAGACCAGAGACAAGGACACGGGAGGCCATGCCTCGGAGACGAAGCAGGGAGGGGTGACCAAGGCGGTGGTGCCAGAGGAGAGTCTCGTGAGACAGGAGGCGACACGAACAGGGGGCAGACTCAGGACTAGACCTGGACGCTGCAGCAAACACCTGACCCGACGCAGCTACCTGACCAGACGCAGTGACTGGAGGAGACGCAGTGGTCAGGGTGTACAGGCTCGACCCCGGCCGACGGGTAAACGTGGCCAGGTGTCGGCCAGTCCGAGCGTCCGTGCAGTGGGTCACCCGCTGACTCGCAGGAGTGAACTGGTGAACCCCCGCATCCTGTAGGTCAGCACCACTCACCAAGTTTGTAGAGAACGAGGGGAGGTAAAGACCAGACAGGGTGCCAGAGGGGGCCGCCGGACACGGGAGGACAGTGGCGAAGTGAGCAAGGACAGGACCCCCAGAGGGGTCTGCAGAGAGACCGCAACTGGCCGGCCAAGCGGCGTGAGTGTGGTGCGGTCTCGAAAGAAGGAGCGAGAAGCCCCCGAGTCAAGGGTGAAGGTGTGGGAGGCCGAAGCCGACGCAGAACCTGAGAGAGCAGACTCACCAGCACCTGAGGGAGCAGACGCACCTAGAGCAGCAGCCTCGCTAGCACCTAGAGCAGCAGCCTCACCAGTACCTAGAGCAGCAGTCTCAATGCCCGGGTCGGGCGGAAAACACCGGTAACAGTCACCCTCATCACTAATAGTCACAGTATACATAGCAGCAAGAATAGCATCAAAGTCAAGGTCAAAGACAGCGACACCCGCCCTAGACAGCTCACCCCAGTGGGGGATCTCAGTGGCCTCAGGGAACTGGTGACGCCAAGCGTCCGTCAGGCGGCCAAAGCAGCGCTGGGTGGAGTGCGCACCCCCGCACTGGTCACCCGCGCGGTCGCCGGTGCGGAGGACGTAGGTGCACGGACCAGTACCCCCACCCCGCTGGCGTGCAGCGTACCACTCACGGAGCTGCTGAGGGGGGGGGATGTCACGAGTGCGCTGCTGCTGCTGCTGCTGCTGCTGGCGCTGACCACCACCGGAGCCGACCCTCTGCGCAGCGCCACCCCGACCAGCTCCACCTCCTCCGCCGCCGCCTCCTCCACCGCCGCTACCTCCGCTCCCACCGCCACCGCCGCCGCCGCCTCCGCCTCCACCGCCGCCACCGACACCTCCACCCCCACCACCACCCCCACCGCCACCCCCACCCTCTCCACTGCCTCCACCGCCGCCTCCACCGCCCCCGCTAGCTCCTCCAGTGCCCCTGCCCCCCTTGCCCTGCCAGGGCGGCGTCTCCCGCTAGGGGTAGACGCCGCACCGACCGACTCAAGCCCAACGAGGTCGGCCGCAGCAGCAGAGGCAACAGAGGGCAAAAGGGGGGAGGGGGAACACCCCTCAAAGATGGGGGTGCGAGGGTCACCACGAGAGGCTCCTACAGCGACTATGCTCTTCTCTGCTGCTAGGAGGGACTTCTCGAGGAGGTCAACGGTGAGAGTGGTGGGGCAAACTGAGAGGAAGTGGTCCCTGACTACGCGAAGGGAGTCAGGGAGCCGGGTGACTATGTAGTAGAGGGTGATGTACATGGGGGGGGGGTTCTTGGCGCAGAACTCAGCAGGAAGCGCAGCGCGGTAGCGAGTGTCACTAGTGCGGAGGTGCGTAATGAGGTCAGCGACTGTGGGAAAGGCAGCAAGGTCAGGGAAGAGGTACGGTAGCATGAGGCGGCTCAGTGCAGCAGTGGCAGGGGAGGAGTAGCGCGCAACTACAGCGTCGTACAAGGTGTGAGCACTCTTGTACTGGCTAAAGTGCGCACGCTCAGAGGTAGGCAGGTGGCGACGCACAGCAAGACGTGCAGCAGCATCGCGCGTGGCCCACTGTGAGCGAACAGTGGCGTCAGCATCAGCAGCGGGGGCAGGGGAGGCACCAGAGGTGAGGTCAAAGAGGGAGAGGCCGTCTGCTCTGTCGCACTGTAAGAAAAGCTGCAGGTCATCTATCCAGACGTCAAAGTCAATGGCCCGACCCTCAGCGTCAAAAGCGAGGACACTAGGGGTAGCCATGACAGCAGTAGACTAGCAGCGCAAACAGTAGGGTGAGGGCAGTGCTGTGAAAGAGGCGCTGCTCTTACCGGACAGGGCGGCTCGGGTGGCTCGGCTGCAGGGCGGCTCGGCGGCTCGGCTGCTCGGCGGCTCGGCGGCTCGGCTGCAGGGCGGCTCGGCGGCTCGGCTGCTGGGCGGATCGGCGGCTCGGCTGCTGGGCGGCTCGGCGGCTCGGCTTCTGGGCGGCTCGGCTGCTGGGCGGCTCGGCGGCTGGGCGGCTCGGCTGCTTGGCGGCGCGGCGGGGCCGCTGAGAGGGCGGCGTCCGGGGCCGCTGGGAGGAGGCGGCGAGGCCGCTGAGAGGAGGCGGCGGGGCCGCAGGTAGGTGGCGGGGCCGCTAGTAGGTGGCGGGGCCGCAGGTAGGTGGCGGGGCCGCTGGTAGGTGGCGGGGCCGCAGGTAGGTGGCGGGGCCAGCACAGGAAGGTGGCGGGGCCGCGGGTAGGTGGCGGGGCCGCTGGTAGGTGGCGGGGCCGCAGGTAGGTGGCGGGGCCGCTAGTAGGTGGCGGGGCCGCAGGTAGGTGGCGGGGCCGCACAGGTAGGTGGCGGGGCCGCACAGGTAGGTGGCGGGGCCGCGGAGGGCGGCGACGAGCCGTAGGGGGCCGTGAGGGGCCGCGGGAGGGGCCGTAAGGGGCGTAAGGGGCCGCGCGAGGGGCCGTAAGGGACGGCGCGAGGGGCCGTAAGGGGCGGCACGAGGGGCCGTAAGGGCGGCGCGACGGGCGCGACGGGCCGTAAGGGCGGCACGAAGGGCCGTAAGGGCGGCGCGAAGGGCCGTAGGGGGCGGCGCGACGAGCCGTGAGGGGGCCGCTAAGGGCGACGCGACGGGGCCGTGAGGGGCCTAGCGAGGGCGCGACGGTAGGGAGAGCACACAGGGCGCGACTCGGGCCTGAGCGAAGCGCGCTCCGGGCAGGAAAAAAAAAATTCGTGGTGGTGGGCCCTAGGAATCGTTCCCACTAGGGAACCTGCTCGATACCATGAGAAGAAACGAGGAATGAAAATGACTAAGGGAAAGTTGGGTACAAATACAAACCCTAGAAAACTGTACCCCATATGTGCTACCCCACTATAGCCTACAGTAGCTCTGTCATATAAATCTGACAGTGCGACCCTGTTCCTTTCCATGCCAGGAATCGAGTGAGCGGCGCCATCACTGGCTGCGCCTGAGCGCTGTCCCACGCTGTCGTTCTGTGTTGGTGTGCCGGATGAAATGACGATCGGCTCCTCCGATTGTGCGGGTACATTTGCAGGTGCGTGTGGTGGTGCTGGAGTATTCACCGTGGATTGCTGACGCGCGGAGTCACGTTCCGCCGTGAGCGTCGCAATTTCGAGCGCCGAATCCTCGACTTGGCGCACGAGACGGTCGAGTTGCTCCTGCGTCAGTGTCGCGAGAGTAAATTCGGCCATGGCGGGGGTGTCGGGCAAACTCAGCGAGAGCCTCGGTCGTGGTCGTGCGTGCTTTCGAGAGAGCACTTCGAGCGGCGGTGCTTGTTCGCTGAGAGACGTCTACCCCCCCCCAAAAAAATGAGATAGTGGGGAAGCGAAGGTGTGGGTGCGGTCCGAGAAGAGATCGTAGGCTCTGATACCAAGTGTTACGAGTGCAATTGAGTGAACGAGCGAGAATTGCACTATCGAAGCAAGAGTACAATGAGCGAAGGCATGAGCAAAGAATATATAGCGAAGCTACAGTGGTAACGGTAAAGTGAGAAATTGAGGTGCGCTATGGGCCTAGCGCCGAGGTTTGGAGAATTGTCGAGGCGGAGGTCCGGAGCGCGGGTTACCAACCGAACCGTTAGGTTGGGTCGCGTCGTGAACAGTGGCGGGAGTCGTGGTCGAGGCGAGTGTCGTGAACGGGTAACGTGCATGGATGGGTGCTGATGGCGGGAACGGTTATGTACGCGGTAAGCAGGGACGCGAAGTAAGGAAAAGGAATTTTCCTTACAGTATTACATGTACCACTCGAGAACAGCTTCCGACCAAGAATTACAAAGAATCACTTTCCGTCGATGGCGCTGGGTTGATCAATGTGCCCTGCACACAGGGGCTAATTCCACCAATCAATGTCAAATCGTCAGGTCGCGCCAGCGAAGCGCGCATGTTCGGGTAGCATTGGGGCAAGGCGGAGCCGCGCTTCCAAACACAGCATCTCAAGCATGTGTGCAGTAGGTGGTTAGAAATGAGAGGCCAGCGCATGTCACCCATCTCAGTGGTAGGTCAGTTTTGGCCTAACGAACCATGCTGTTGCCCCCATATTTTTTCGGCTTATGTTTGCCTGCTAACTCCTAGACTCGAATGGGGAGGAGAGATGTCTTATTAGAGGCTTAGAGGCTATACTTCGTCTCCCACCCACCGTTGAAAGCAGACCGAGCGAGGATGACTCATCAAGGTTGTTCAGATGCTGTACTGTCGACTGCCAATCAGAGCAGACACGCGAAGCGAAGTGCCTGACGGCGTGTACAGTATTTCTTGACTCTTGATATGTTCTCGACTCGAGGGCGACACGCGCCGTATGCGATGCCTCAGCGCACTGGCTAACCTTAGACCTCTTTACCTTGTACCACATATACGAAGCGACATATTTCGTACGACTCTTTTAATGCGCCGGCCAAAAATAAGCTCCTCCACGGGCCTTCTTGCAATCACAATGTTTCTCAGCTTAGTGTTATAGATTTTAATCAACGTGAAACCAGACACGTCAGCGTCCAGTCAGAATAGGACGCATGGAGCAACTCGCTCCCCGATTAGCAATAGCCGTTTTTCTTGCCGTGGCCGCCGCTGCCACGTGGCACGTTCTAGACAACTTCCTGGTTATCACCCCTCCGGCGGGATGCGCGGGACCCGCGGGGTCTCCGCGGGTGGCGGAGTGCTTGACGGAGTTCCGCAGCGCGCGGCGGTCGCTGGGGGTGATGCCGCAGCAGCAGCAGGACGTCACAGCGGCCATGCTCGTGCGCGTAGAACAGCAGGTGAGGGTAACTCTAACGACGCGTTTTGAGGCGCCTCGAAAGGCGACATTTTTTAGGCGCCTCGAGAGACGTCACAGCGGCCATGCTCGGCCGCATGGAGCTGCAGGTGAGAGCAATACTAACGACGCGCATTCACATGCAACGTGTCAGCCCAATATCGTGAACAACTAGCCATGTCTGGTAGCCAGCCAAAATCGTCAACATGTTGCTCCGAATATACCGTGCAATGTGCGTGTTTCGACAGGTGTTCGGCATGATGCGGGTAGTGAGACGGCTAAAAGCGAGCAATATCTCCAGCTTCACACCAAGTCAGCAGCACTTCATTCGAGCTGTCTCAGACGACTGCCTTGAGCAGGTATGACTGCATTCACCAGATACAAACATCTCATTGTTCTACAATTCCGTGAACACTCAGCCAACCTCCCGATCGCCAGCATCATTCACAACTGAACTCTTATTCCTCGCCATTCCGTCCCCCGTATTTCACCTTGCTCCTCCGCTCCCTCACCTCCTGTCTCGCTCGTCTTTCTTCCCCGTACCCCCCGACCCTTTTCCCTTCTCCCTTTCCCCTCCCAACACCGCCTCGTCCGCCAGGGCGCGGACGCGGCAGAGGAGGTGCGCGAGGCGTACTTGGAGCTGCGCGCGGGCACCCGCGGGGACGATTTGCGCTTCCAGCTGGCGGCGATCAGGACGAAACTCAGTAACTGCGTTACCGGATTCGCTGAGTTCGCACCCGGGATCCTCAAGACAGAACTGGGAACCATTCTTACGGTATGGGGGCTCGTGTGTCACGTGGCGCAAGTGGGTTGTTTTCGGTTGCTGCTAAGCTGGGATTAAGCTGTCATCGGTACAAAGGCTCTATGTGCGAATGCATTCGTGTCGCTGCTGCTCGTTCCCTCGAACGAATCAAACATTTCATACCCCGTCTCTCCGTTCTTTCTCATGCCGGGCGTTTTGCAGATGGGATCGACACAAGTGAAGTCCACTGTAAGCGCCGCCGTCACAATCGCATCAGCCTATAGCGGGTACGGTTCTCCCGCGCAAGGGCAGCAGGTCAAGCGTCAACAGGTGGCGCAAACGGTCGGCATGCGCGCAGGACAGGCGGGGGCGGGTTTGCGTCCCCCCGTGCAACAACCAGCGGGGTTGCGGCCATGGCAGGTGCGGCAGGGTGGTCAAACGGCGCAGCCGGGGCTGCGCCCGACACAGGCGGCGCAGATGGGACAGACGGGCCAAGCGGGGACGACCGCGCAGGCAGGGAAGCTGGGGCAGGCGGCGCAAGGGGGGCAGGCGGGGCTGCGCCCAACACGGGCAGGGCAGTTGGGTCAAGGGGGGAATGCTGGGCTGCGCCCTACACAGGCGGGGCAGGCGGCGCAAGGGGGGCAGGCGGCGCAATGGGGGCAGGCGGGGCTGCGTCCAACACAGGCGGGGCACTTGGCGCAAGGGGGGCAGACGGGGCTGCGCCCAACACAGGCTGGGCAGTTGGGACAAAGAGGGCAGGTGGGGCTGCGCCCAACACAAGCGGGGCAAAGGGGGCAGGCGGCGCAAGGGGCGCAGGCGGGGCTGCGCCCAGCACAGGCGGGGCAGGCGGCGCAAGGGGCGCAGGCGGGGCAGCATCTCGCTGTACAATATAGCACGGGACTCCAGCCACAATCCCCGGCGCAGCCGCAAGCTCGTTACCAGGTACAAGCGCAATCAGAACAGCTCGCGTGGTCGCAGGTGCAGCCGGTGTATGATTATAACGAGTACGAGTATGACGACCCGATAGACGGAGGCAGTGACTACCCCACAGGTAGAAATAGAAGGGGTGGGCGAAATCAGTTCAAAGGCGCGGAGCAACGGCCGAAATTGGTTCAGGCGCAGTCGCTGTACGAGCCGCACTTGTCTGGTGGGCCGTACAGTGTGGGTGAAAAGTCCAACCCAACCGGAGAGGGAAAACTGTCCCTTGGGAATAACGAGGAGTACAATCGCGATTATAGAAGCAGTAACGACAGCGAATCGGATTACTACAGTGACGGGTATGATGATCTCGATATTTCGCCCCAAGACGGCAGCACATCCCAGCAAGCTACTACTGATAGCAGCACCTCTTGGGACAACATTAGTGAAGGTAACACTGATACAAGTAGTGACGGCGAGAATTCCGATTATTCGGCTAATTACTCTAATGACGCTAATGTCGCTCCGGACGCTCAAAGTACTACTAGTAGTATTGGACGCGTAGTTAGCGGTTCGTATGACGACGCTGACGGTGGAATTTCAGCTAACGAAGATAACGTTTTAGACGCTGACGGTAACGGTCGCCGCAGCAGTGTTAGCAGCGCGAGCTACCGACCAAATTCGCCGTCAACTGGTAGTGAAAGCGACGACAGTGGCTCGGATTATTACGACGACGTTACCGACAATAACGGCGACATTGGCGACGGTTATGGGAGCGGGTCAGACTATTACAGCGCATCAGACGGCGGATCGGATGATAACAACAATGGCGACGATGGTGTAGACAGCAACGTCAGTGGTGGCAGCAGTGTTACGAGCGCGAGTTACGACTCGGATTCTCCAGCTACAGGTAGTAAAAGCGATGTCAGTGGCGGTGGTGTTCGCAGCAGCAGTGTTACCACCGCGAGTTACGACTCAGACCCCTCTACAAGTGTTAGCGAAAGCGACGATAGTGGCTCGGATTATTACGACGACGCTGGCGACAATGGCGGCGACGTTAGCGATGGTAACGACGGTGGATCAGACGGTTATGGCGACGACTCCGATAAGGATATTGGTCCCAGCGAGGGCTCTGGCTTGGTCGGTGATGGTACTGACATAGGTGACGGTTTCGATAGTACTAATGCTGACATAGATAACGGTTTTGATAGTACTAATAATGATAGTGACACAAGCGGATCAGATTACTATAGTGGTGCCGCTGCTAGTGGTAAAAGCGAGGAGAAGCGTTGGGATTACCACGATCCGACTGACGGTGCTACAGTCGCTGAAACCAATGCTGCTACTAGTAAAGTGGCTGCTACAGTCGCCGCTATTGAGGATGACACATTGAACAACAGGGACGGCAATGGATTGGATTATTACGCTGACGCTGCCGACGCTGCTGACTCTGCAGACTTTGCTAACGCTGCTAATTCTGCTGACTCTGCTGACTTTGCTAACGCTGCTAATTCTGCTGACTCTGCTGACGCCGCTGACTCTGGTGACTTTGCTGAAAATGTCGACGCCGCTGTCGATGCCGAGGCACCTGATTCCGATGACCAACAGCGGGATTTCACAGGCTCGCGAAACCGGCAGCTGCGCGCCACTGACGATGTTACCCGACAGGCTTCGCTAGAGGGTGGTTACCACAGTAGCAGAGGTGATCGTGGCGAAAGCGCGGATGGTTACCACGGTGAGGTTGGCGAAGTGGGCGAAGAAGCGGATGGTTACCACCACCCGGAGTGGCTGGAGGCGGGGCTGTACGAACAGCTGAAGGAGCTCCAGGCGCGCATGCGCGGAGAGCACGCGCGCGCGCAGCAGTGGGCGGTCAAACGGCGCAAGATGCTGGGGCTTCCCGCGGAGACGTGGGGCAGCGACGGCGGGGAAGGGGAAGGGGAAGAGGGAGAGGCGGGGGCGGTGGATGGGACGAGGAGAAGGGGGTTTGGCGTGGGGCAGTGGCGGAAGCGGAAGAGTCACACGTGGCGGAGGGGGCTACAGGCGCAAGGACTGCAGGCGCAAGGATTACAGGCGCAAAGGCTACAGGCGCAAGGGCGACCGCCGAAGAGCCTTACTCCCCCTTCCGCCTACCCCCCCTCTAGCCCCCGTTCCGCCCGTCCTCCCCCCATTCCCGCGCACCGCTCAACGCAGCGCGCGCCGTTCCTCCTAGCAACGACTATGGGGAAGAAAACCGCGGAACACCTCCCCACCGCGGGGCACCACTCCCCCGGATCCCTGCACCACGCGCCAGGCACGGGCCCCGCGCATAGGGAGAAGCAGCCGAACCACTGGGGGGAGGGGAAGGGGCAGGGGGGAGGGGGAGTGACGCGCGGGCACCACACGCACCTGTGGCGGAACGGGCGCAGGGGCGCGCACCACCCCACGGGGGTGGGGCACCACAAGCGGAAACGGAAGGGGGGCGGCGGGAGTGGCGGAGGGTCGGGGGGAGGGGGGAGCGGGAGTAGCGGAGGGTCGGGGGGAAGCGGGGGGAGCGGGAGTGGCGGAGGGTCGGGGGGAGGAGGGGGGAGTGGCAACCGCGGGTCGTTTAAGGCGGATGCTGTGGTTGGGCCTGGGGAGAAGTACAATACCGTTGAGGTGAGGGGGGGGAAGGCTGAGTTGAGGAGAGGAGTGGGGAGTTGAATGGATAGCCACGTGATAAATGATTTGCTCTGGAAACGTCTCAGTCGTCTCACATGATTGGTGAGGGGAGGGAGGAGCATTAGATGTGTGAGATTGTGCCGTGGTTGGGCAGGGGGAGAAGTACAACTCTGGAGGTGAGGGGGGGAGGGGTGAGTTGTGGAGAGTAGAAGATGGTGGAGGTGAGGTGGGGAGCTACATTTGTGAGCGCGTTTTAGAGTAATCTTGTTGAAAAGTACAATACAGTGGAGGTGATGGCGGATGAGTTGACAAGGGGAGGTGAGGAGGAGAGCTAGATGTGTAAGATGTGATACATACCATGAGTCGATCATCTTCCGTCCCCCGTCCCCCTTCCCCTACTCCCTCGCCCCCCTCCCCCTTAACCTCCTACAGGGTGCGTTGGGAGCAGCGCCCAAGGAGGGGCGGTTTGTGATAGTCATTCGCAGGGGGACATACCGCGAATCCAACACCTTCCCCCTTTCCTTACCCCCCCCACCCTCGCAGGGTGCGTTGGGAGCGGCACCCAAGGAGGGGCGGTTTGTGATATTCATCCGCGCGGGGACCTACCATGAGTCCATCATCTTCCGCCTTTCCCCTTACTGCCCTCCCCCTCCCCTATCCGCCTCCCCCCCTACAGGGAGCGTTGGGAGCAGCACCTAAAGAGGGGCGGTTTGTGATATTCATTCGTGCGGGCACATACCATGAGTCTATCATATTCCGCAACAAGGGGCTCATCATGGTGGGGGAGGGCGCGGATAAAACCATCATCACTGGGGATAAGAGCGCTGGCAGCGGGTCTACTACGTATCGCTCTGCCACCATCGGTGAGAGCTGCATTGTAGAGTTTGAGCGAGGTATGCTGCAGCAAGGGGCTCATCCGCGTGGGCACATACCACGAATCTATCATCTTCCGCAACAAGGGGCTCATCATGGTGGGGGAGGGCGCAGATAAAACCATCATCACGGGGTCCAAGAGCGCTGGCAGCGGCTCCACCACCTACCGCTCCGCCACCATCGGTGAGTGCTACATTGTAGGAGGGGAGGTCTGCTGCAGGGACATACCATGAGTCCATCATCTTCCGCAACAAGGGGCTCATCATGGTGGGGGAGGGCGCGGACAGAACCATCATCACGGGGTCGAAGAGTGCAGGCAGTGGCTCGACCACATATCGCTCCGCCACCATCGGTGAGAATTCTCTAGTAGTGGCGAGGTAGGTATGGTGGAACCAGGTGCTGATCATGGTCGGGGAGGGCAGCGACAGAACCATCATCACTGGGTCCAAGAGCGCTGGAAGCGGGTCCACCACGTACCGCTCTGCCACCATCGGTGAGAATTTAATTGTAGGGAGGGGGGTATGGTGCCGTAAAAAGGGGCTGAGCATGGTGGGGGGGTCTAGGACAGAACCATCATCAGCGGGTCGAAGAGTGCTAGCAGTGGCTCAACCACATACCGCTCTGCCACCATCGGTGAGTGCCCAGTGCCATTGTGCTGCGGTGCAGGGGGGGGGGTAGGCTGGAGCAAGGGAGGTATACCACCGACCGATGTGAAAACCCAGACTTACCCCCACGTGTCTTCTCCTTCCTATGGTTGCTCCCTCAGGAGCCAACAAGGAACGTTTATGTGCCCTGGGCATCCGCTTTGAGAACACAACAGGGCGCACCTGCAAGTCACTCACAGAACTGCACGCCTTCCCCCTCTGTGTCTTTCCATGTGTCTCGTTATGGCATGTCCCGTTATTGTGCATGGTGGCACCCGCAGGTGCCAACAAGGAGCGCTTCTGTGTGCTGGGCATCCGCTTTGAGAACCCAGCGGGGCCGCAGAACCGCCTCTAATAGCCTCCCCTTATCCTCATGTGCCCCGTTATGGTGTGTCCCGTTACTGTGCGTGACTGTACCATCAGGTGCCAACAAGGAGCGCTTCTGTGCGCTGGGCATCCGCTTTGAGAACACGGCCGAGCAGAAGCATGCAAGTCACCGCACTCTGTGCCTTCCCATGTGTCTCGCAATGGCGTGTCCCCTTTCTGCTCTCAGGGGCCAACAAGGAGCGCTTCTGTGCGCTGGGCATCCGCTTTGAGAACACGGCCGAGCAGAAGCATGCAAGTCACCGCACTCTGTGCCTTCCCATGTGTCTCGCAATGGCGTGTCCCCTTTCTGCTCTCAGGGGCCAACAAGGAGCGCTTCTGTGCTTTGGGAATCCGCTTTGAGAACACAGCCGGGCCGCAGAACCACCAGGCGGTGGCCATGAGGGCCAGTGGGGACCGTTCTGCTTTCTTTGAATGTGCCTTCGAGGCCAACCAGGTGAGGACAACCCTCCTTCCCTCTCTCCCAAGAATGGTCCCTTATTGATATAAGCGACCGGATGAGTATGGCGCTCAATTCCCTGTCTGCTTTTGAGTTGGACTCACAACTTTTTTTTCTCAAAACACCCCGGTTGCTATGAGGGCACATTTCTCTTCATACTCACACATCTGCTCTGTCCCCTATCCCCTTCCCCCACTCCCATCCACCAGGACACACTGTGCGTAGGGAGGCAGTATTACAAGGACTGCTACATCGGCGGCACCATTGACTTCAGACTCACACATGCTGCTGTCTCTCCTCTCTCCACTCCCCACTGCCATCCTTCAGGACACCCTATATATGGTGGCAGTACTACCAGGACTGCTACATTGGCGGCACCATTGACTTGATGCTCACAACTAACACATCTGCTGTCTCTCCTCTCCCTTCTCCCTTCGTTTCCCACTCTCGCCCATCAGGACACTCTATACGTGGACGCAGGCAGACAGTACTACAAGGACTGCTACATCGGCGGCACCATCGACTTCATCTTTGGCGACGCTGCTGTGGTGATTGACAACCCCACCATCGTCGTGCACAAGAGCAGGTGAGGAGGAGGGGTAGGGGTGGGGGTGGGGATGGGTCTCAATGGATGTGATTACAAGGACTGCTATGGTGCGGCCGTGGTGATTGACAACCCCACCATCGTCGTGCACAAGAGCAGGTGAGGAGGAGGGGTAGGGGTGGGGGTGGGGGTGGGTCTCAATGGATGTGATTACAAGGACTGCTATGGTGCGGCCGTGGTGATTGACAACCCCACCATCGTCGTGCACAAGAGCAGGTGAGGAGGAGGGGTAGGGGTGGGGGTGGGGGTGGGTCTCAATGGATGTGATTACAAGGACTGCTATGGTGCGGCCGTGGTGATTGACAACCCCACCATCGTCGTGCACAAGAGCAGGTGAGGAGGAGGGGTAGGGGTGGGGGTGGGGGTGGGTCTCAATGGATGTGATTACAAGGACTGCTATGGTGCGGCCGTGGTGATTGACAACCCCACCATCGTCGTGCACAAGAGCAGGTGAGGAGGAGGGGTAGGGGTGGGGGTGGGGGTGGGTCTCAATGGATGTGATTACAAGGACTGCTATGGTGCGGCCGTGGTGATTGACAACCCCACCATCGTCGTGCACAAGAGCAGGTGAGGAGGAGGGGTAGGGGTGGGGGTGGGGGTGGGTCTCAATGGATGTGATTACAAGGACTGCTATGATGCGGCCGTGGTGATTGACAACCCCACCATCGTGGTGCACAAGAGCAGGTGAGGAGGAGAGAGGAAGAGAGTAGTGCACGGACTGTGTTGAGGTGCATGGAAGCTCGACTTCATACTTGGAGATGCTGCTGTGGTGATAGACAACCCCACCATCGTTGTGCACAAGAGCAGGTGGGCAAGTGGGGGGCTGGGGGGCTTACTTCTGTTCTTGGTCTTTGTTGTCAGTCATTGAAGCATTTTTGGCGATGCTCTAGTTGTGATTGACAACCCCACCATTGTGGTGCATAAGAGCAGGTGGGCAAGAATCTGTCATGCTAATTGTTTATTTATCAGTATTATTATTCTTATTGTTAATATTGTCATCGTTATTATTACTATGATAGTTATGTTGATGATGACTATTATTATTTCTCCCCCACACGCATCTCCCCATTCCGCCCTTTCCTCTCCCTCGCCCCTTACAGCTCCTTTGCAACAACCACGGCGTCGGGCCGGGAGAGCAACACGCCAACGGGCATTGTCATTCGCACCCTCATCTCCCTGTTCCTCCCTCTCCCACCACACTCATCCCTCACACGCAGCTCGTTTGCAACCATCACAGCGTCTCTCCCCTCACTCAACCCCCATACCCCCCATTCCGCCCTCCCCTCCCCCGTCCTCTCCGTTCAGCTCTTTTGCAACCATCACAGCGTCGGGGCGGGAGAGCAACACGCCAACGGGCATTGTCATTCGTAACGCCAAGATCTCGGTCGACTCTGGGGTCTCGGAGGTCTACCTGGGGCGGCCCTCTCCCCTCACTCAACCCCCCGTACCCCCCATTCCGCCCTCCCCTCCCCCGTCTTCTCCGTTCAGCTCCTTCGCAACCATCACGGCATCGGGCCGGGAGAGCAACACGCCAACGGGCATTGTGATTCGCAACGCCAAGATCTCAGTCGACTCTGGGGTCTCGGAGGTCTACCTGGGGCGGCCCTGGAAGGCGTGTGCTCGCACCGTGTTTGTTGACAGCTACATGCCTTCTGTGAGTCATTGCAACAGTCACAACACAAGCTGTGGCAGGTAAGGGAGGGAACGATGGGACTGAGGTACGCAAGGGCGCCTCAGAGGTCTACCTGGGGCGGCCTTGGAAGGCGTGTGCTCGCACCGTCTTCGTCGACAGCTACATGCCTGCAGTAAGTCACCTTAACACCCAAGTCTTTAAGTCGCAGGCTTTGAGTCGCTGAGGAGTACCCTGCCCTCTTTCCACTCTCTCCCCCTCCCTCCCATTTCCCACTCACTCTCTTCCTCATCTGCCAAAGGAGTTGGAGTGAGACAGGTGGAGCACGTGGGGAGGCGACAGCAAAAGCAGCTGCCTGTACCACACCATTCTCATCCCCTCCCCTCTCCTTCTCTCCTCACCTCTTGCCCCCTTCCCATCCACCCCCCTATACCACAGGAGTTGGAACGGGATGGGTGGAGCATGTGGGGAGGCGACAGCAAAAGCAGCTGCCTGTACCACACCATTCTCATCCCCTCCCCTCTCCTTCTCTCCTCACCTCTTGCCCCCTTCCCATCCACCCCCCTATACCACAGGAGTTGGAACGGGATGGGTGGAGCATGTGGGGAGGCGACAGCAAAAGCAGCTGCCTGTACCACACCATTCTCATCCCCTCCCCTCTCCTTCTCTCCTCGCCTCTTGCCCCCTTCCCATCCACCCCCCTATACCACAGGAGTTGGAACGGGACGGCTGGAGCACGTGGGGGGGCGACAGCAAGGGCAGCTGTGTGTACTATGCAGAGAAGGGCAGCACGGGGCCCGGCAATGCGGCCAGCCGCGCATCGTGGGTGCACCCCGGCATTATATCCGATGCGTCCCAGTTTGACCCCGAGCCGTTTGTCGACCTCAGCTCCTGGCTGGACGTCTCGGGGCAGAACCCCAAGTGGTGATGGCAGGGGTGGAGTTGGGCTGGGTGCAGTTGGGCTGGGTCCAAAGTTTCCATCGAGCCCAGCTGGTTTGCTCGCTGAGCTCCTCAGGCTCATCAAATCAGCAGCTGCTTTTTGAAATGGTGAATATGGGCGAATGATCTGCGGTTGCAAGGAATAAATAAGCGCATGCTGCAGCCTGTGTAGGCTGCGTGGGCAGGGAGGGAGGGTAGAATAAGCAAGTGCAGCCGAGCATTGCTCTGTCACGGCTTGGCTTGCAGGATAGAGGTGTTTAGCTTCAATACCAGGCTAGGCTAACTGGGCAATGGGTAGGTAGGTGGTGCTTGACTGTTTTGTGGTTGTGGGGCACTATCAGATATCTGGATGGTTTGCTGTAAGTTAGACTGCTGGATGGAGCAACTTGCTCCTACAACTGTAATTTCTGTAACCATCTAATATTGTTTAGGCCATTTATCAACTCACTGTACTAAAGGAAGCACAGAAGGGCAAATACAATTCCCAACTAATGGCTATAAATCAGTTCACCCTGATATTGAGGGTGAGGTGAAATGGAATCAGAGTGAGAAGGGTGGCTGGGTGAAGAGCTAAAGGAGCAGTCAGGAGGGAAGGCCAGACTGGATCGAATCAGCCTTCTTTACTTCAGCCACCATGTGAGCCCCAATCTCCGCTCTTCTCTTTGCTTCGGCTAAAATGCTTGATAAATCTCCGCCCTTCTCTTTGCTTTTAGCCGGCAGCGGCTCATCCTCATCGTCGGACCCTGGAAGGTCGTCATCTCCCTTCTCTAGGAAGGAAGACAGCCGAACCGGACCTTCCTCCTCCTCACTTGCACTGCTCAAAGCATCCGGATCTTTCTTAGATTTCTTATTTTTCTTCTTCTTGTCGCTGTCATCCTCGCTGCTGCTCGAGTTGCTTGAGTCACTTTCAGAACCACCCTTTTTGCGCTTGCTCTTCTTCTGAATAATGCAAAATACGAGGTCAGACAATAGCCATGCAATAGTTATATGTGAGGAGCAATCAGGTCTCCAAAAGCGGTGACGACAATCAACAGGAAACAAGAGTAAAGCATGGATTTGCAGTAAAATCTGCTTACCTTCTTCTTGCTCTTATCTTTGTCCTTGTCTGCACAAACAGATTGCCAGGGTGAAAGAAATATATCAAATTAAAAGAATAAGCAGTGGATCGATAGCCATGAAATCCTTGCAAGAAAAAGCCTGACTGTTTACGAATTAGACGCACTCTTTTTTAGCTTCCCGCGTTTATCTGCGTGATTTCGTCCTCGCGACAGCCTCGCTTCTCGCTCGCTGTCCAACTGAGCCCGGTACTCCTTCATCCGCACCTCCTCAAAACCCTCCATTTCCTGCTGTTTCCTCGCCTCCTCCTGCTCGCACAGCGCGCCGAGTCAGACAAGCACAATCATAATCAATCACGGCCTGCACTAAGGAGGTAGAGAATTTACGGAAGCTAAGCGTATGGAATCTCAAAAAAATCAGATGGTTTTACCAGCTACGACCAAGAATGCTGATCGATTATTTGTCAATCGAAATGTAGAGATTGCAGCATACCTTTCGTTGAGCCTTCCACTCCTCCCACGTGAGCGTGTTGGTCGTCTGCAAGGCTGCCAGGCGTGCGGCATGCCATGCTGGAGAATGGAAGGATCCATCAATCTGCCAATGGCTGAATTAGTAATCCGTTGTACCATGAAGAAATCACAGCATACGTACACTACAACGAAAACGAGAAAAACGAGAACCGATAGCACATTATAAGAGCGCTAGAGATCGCAGCTACACCAGGTGCAAACATCATTACCATTCCATCACTGCTCTCCTCGTCGCCGCCACCACCGCCACCCCCACGGCTCATCGACTTGGCTCGTTGCGCCGCCTTGTACTGCTGATTCTTACCCATCCTCGCTAAACTGAAAGGGACGCTAACCTAACCAAGAAGCTGCTGTCAGATTCACTCCTATAAGATTAACCGATAATCAGTTAGGTACACGCCGGCTATTCTGCTACATCTTCCAGTAAACCTTAACGACTGCAGCGGCACGTCACCGTCAACGACGCGCTGTTAACTACCGTCACTAGTGGCCTGCGCGTGTCGCACTCAACCATGAAAACGAGGTTGCTTGGGCCTAGTCCCAACTCCCAACCAGCCGCCAAAGAAAACCAAGAACACCTCTGCTTGCCTGCCCTGTCCCTTTGTCTGCTTGCTGGCAACAAACCAGCGCAGCAACTCGGCAACGCAAAACCCGACCGAAGATTCAGGGAGGGGAATTGAGGTCGCTTCTAGAAACGTATTCGTGTAAGTTCTACAAGCCATATATTCTTAACAATTTCACACACACAAACATGAAGAGGACTGTAAGGAAAAACCCGTTTCCTTACCGGGGTTTACTCAACCGCGTACAACCCCAACTTTCGGAAGTGCACGTTCGGCCGGTTTACTTGCTGCCGAAGCAACCTCGCATCGCTTTCAGCTTTCCTTTGCCCAACCTGCACCCAACGTCGTGTTCCCGAGGTTCCCGCCTAGCTAGGTTGACCCGCTATATAATCGCGTGCCTTTCATTGTATCGTCAGTTCATTTAGTCACAAGCTTCGTTATTCGTTTTCCGCGCAACTCTGTTTGACAACACATAACACCTTGTATCAGAGCTACTTTCCTAGTTCACCCCGCTTTTCGAGGGTAGTTTAGAGGCACGGGTGTGACTGGTACGGTGAGCTGCAAAGCGGTTGGCTGCAAAGTTTATTAAATTAAACTTGCCCGACTCCGATAGCTTTTGCGCTTGCACTGTTGCAGGATAGTCACGGATACCTACTTGCCCTCTAGACGTAGCTTGCGACTCATGGAACAGGCGGCATTTAACGCGTTGATGCAACAAGTGGCTGATATGTCCGCAGGCATGAAGGCGTTAACGACAGAAGTGGAGAAACTACGTGAAGAAAACAACGAGCTACGCCAGGCGCGAGGTGAAGCGCGCCAGGAGTCGCCCGATGACGAAGGCGAGGGCAACAGTCAAGCGGTGAGCAACCCGTTGGACGAGCTCACAAGCGGCTTCGAAGAAGAAGATAGGCAGCGAGCGGCAGCGACAACAGTTGCAGTAACGACGATCAAGATTAAACCCGCGAGCCCGCCCCCGTTCAATCCTACGGACAGGAACACTACAGTGAAGGGGTGGCTCTTCGGCGTGGAAGTCTTCTTCACTGCAGCGAATGTCAACGACGACGCCACGCGTATTAATTACGCGGTATCGCTTCTGCGAGGCCCAGTGCTTGAATGGTGGCGCCGAACCTTGGACACGGGGACCCCGACAGGTGTGACACATGCGGCAGACGGGACTTCTGACTCTGCAAATGGACGAGCAGTATCGATATTCGGTGTGACCACAATTCGCACGCGGAAGGAGTGGGGCGCAGCCTTACTAGAGCGTTTCGAGCATGTATCCGCCTCGGAACACGCTCGCATGAAGCTGCGTGCCTGGTCGCAGTTGGCTTCTGTTCAAGACTAGACTGCGTCGTTTATGGCCCTCGCCGATCAAGTGGACGACATGGCAGAAGCTGAACGGTTGGATAAATACATCAGCGGCTTGAAATATGAGATACAGTACGAGGTGCGCCGCAGACGTCCAGCTACCTTCAACGAAGCCGTTCGATTGGCAGAGACAACAGACGCGCTGATGCAGTGGGCGAGATCGAGTTCCCGGGAGGGAAATCGCTTTCATGGACAGACACAGCGGGCTACGATTAACGGAGTCCATGCACCAGACCGCCCTTTTACAGGGTTGTGTTTTAAGTGCGGGAAGCCGGGTCACATCTATAAAGACTGCCCCGACAGGACGCAGGGAAGGAGGAACGACGGGAAAGAGCCGGGAAATGGGAAGAATTAGTAACAGACGGGCCCCTTACTGACTGTGCTATGTCGCCCGAACACCACCATCCCCACCGAGTAGTGGTTCCGATTCATGCAATCGATCGCACTCGGACGAATAATGGGGGTGAGCTTGTGGATCACCCAGTGCTGGTTGTTGGCACGGTTGTTAAGAAAAAAATAAAAATGTTCGTTGATGGCGGGGCTAGCCATAGCCTATTTGATCTGGCGACAGCAAAAAAATGTCACTTACCCCTTGACAGGTGTCTGCCCGAGATTGACGCTTGCCTTGTGGATGGGACGCCTCTGGCGATTTTGGAAGAAACACGGACGGTGCGGATCGAGTGCGGCGACAATTTCGGCTTCAGCATGAAGTTTCTCGCGACAACTTTGGACGGTTGCGACGTGCTCCTGGGACGCGATTGGCTGCGACGGCACAACCCGATAATCGACTGGACGACGGGATCGTGCAGCATCAGCAAGCACGAGGGGCTGATTACCCTGCCCGCGTGGACTCCGGACTACATCGAGTCTACATGCGTCAAAGCTATCACTATTACACGCCACTTCAACAGGGGTGCGCAGCTGTACGCCATTCATCTGCGCGAGTTGGCAACCGACACCGACGGAAACGACATCAACAAGTTGTGTGCAACTGTACCACCGGAGTTGGCGCAGCTGATACAACAGTACCCCGACATCTTCCCCGACGATCTGCCACCTGGCCTACCACCGGAACGACCAGAGGACCACAAAATAACGCTCGAGTCCGGCGCGCAACCGACAGTTCGTACACAGTGGCGGCTGACTCAGCCTGAACTCGCGGAGCTTCGAAGTCAAATTGACTCACTGTTGGAGAAGGGCTTCATCAGGCCCAGTACGTCACCCTTCGCGGCACCGATCCTGTTCACGACGAAAAAGGACGGCGGCATTCGCATGTGCATCGACTATCGCGCGCTCAACCGGGTTACAATCAAGTCTCGCTACCCCATCCCACGCACCGACGACCTCCTCGACCAACTTCGCGGCGCTCGCTACTTCTCGAAGATTGACCTACGCGGCGGTTACCACCAGATAAGGGTCTTCGCTGACGATTGTCACAAGACCCCCTTCCGAACCCGCTACGACAGTTACGAGTTCACTGTGATGCCTTTCGGCCTCACGAACGCGCCATCAACATTTCAACTCACCATGAACAGGGTATTTCGGGAGCTTCTCGACAAATGTGTCATCGTCTACTTGGACGATATCCTGATTTTTTGCAGGACACGCGAACAACACCTTCGCGACCTCGACTCAGTGTTTAAAAGGCTCCAAGACAACCGACTCATCACCAAGGGTTCTAAGTGCAAGTTTTTTAAGCAGGAGTTGGAGTTTTTGGGGCACGTAATCTCACGCGACGGCATCAAAATCGACCCGAAGAAAATCAAGACTATCCAGGAGTGGAAGGCCCCGACTAATGGCACGGAACTTCCGAGTTTCTTGGGGTTCGTGAATTATGTCAGGCGGTTTATCCCGAATATGGCGGGGATAACCGGCCCACTGACCGACCTGCTGCACAAGGACAGGAACTTCGTGTGGGGGGAGGAAGCTGAGGCGGCTTTTTAGGAGCTGAAACAATTACTGGTGTCCCCTCCTGTCCTTCGCATCGCCGACCCATCCCGACCGTTCGAAGTCATCACCGACGCTTCAGATTTCGCCATCGGTGCAGTGCTGCTCCAAGATTTCGGCAACGGCTTACAACCGATCGCCTACGAGTCACGCAAGTTGCAGGCAGCCGAGCGCAACTACCCTATTCACGACAAGGAGATGCTCGCCATCATCCACGCGTTCAAGCTATGGCGCTGCTACCTGACTGGCGCCGACGTCACTGTTCGCACCGATCATAAATCACTACAGTACCTTCGTGCGCAACCCAACCTCAACCCGCGACAAATCAGGTGGCTCGACTACATGGAGTCACATTTCCACTACAGGATCACCTACAAGAAGGGCGCGAATAACATCGCCGACGCCCTGACCCGCCCAACAGTCCAATCTGCTGCAGTACTGATCACCCATTCGAACCCGCTACTTACGGGACTATTCACCCACGGCTACACTACGGACCCGTTCTTCACGACTGGAAATCACCAGCAGGCAATGACGCAGAAAGGGAATTATTACCTAAAATCCGGAACGGACCGGATTTGGGTTCCCGCTTACCGGCTGCTGCGTGAACTCCTTATCCAGGAGGTCCACGATTCCAACCTCTCCGGACATTTCGGGGTTGATAAAACCCAGAAGCTGTTGCACCGTCAATATTATTGCCCTGATTCTGCTAACGACGTACAGCGATACGTGTGCTCATGCAGGGTGTGCCAAGCCATGAAATCAACACGTCAACGACCAGCTGGATTGCTGCAACCACTGGAGCCACCCGAACGACCGTGGCAATAAGTGACAATGGATTTCGTCACGGGACTGCCAGCTGGGCCGTCCGGCAACGACGCTGTACTCGTCGTCGTCGATCGCTTCACAAAAATGGCGCATTTTGCACCGTGTCGTACAACAATCACAGCCGAAGAAACTGCGCGCCTCTTCATCTCAACCGTCGTGCGACTGCACAGAATCCCCTCGGCGATCATCAGCGACAGGGACCCGAAGTTCACATCGAAATTTTGGAAGGAGACGTGGGCGCAGTACGGCACGAAGCTACAGTTTTCGTCGACATACCATCCACAAACCGACGGACAGACCGAGCGGACCAATCAGACAATGGAGCAGCTGATCCGGACAAACTGCCCCGACCCCGCTC